TGCTGCGGTTGCACCTCTTATCCTTCAACGCTGTGAGGTCTAACCGTTCCGTGCAAAGTTGCGTGGGCTTGGTGGTCTCAAGGCCAGTCACGCATTGGTCGAATCGGGTGGCATCGACCCCTTGCCACTTTGGGATCAATCTCTAACCACAGCGATGGCTTTCCCGGCGGGTGGTCCGGGTTCTCCAGCCCCCAAGGTGGGGTTTGGGATCCCTGTGATGTGATCGACGGTGCGGATGACTCTGGGTCTGGGTCCCGGCGGCTTCTCTCGCAGGGGCGAGAAAGTCCCGCATGGCGTGGCTATCCATCCAGCCTCGAAGTACTCATCATCCAGGTCCTTCTTGATCTCGTCCCAAACCTTGTCGTCCGTGAGATCGGTGGGCGTCGGCAAAACGGTGTCCAGGCTGCGCACCAGCCATCCAAGACGGGCCATTTGGTGCGCCAGATCGCCTTCCCTTTTTCGTCCGGAGAAGACGATCAGCATCCGTGCATGGTTTCTTGAAACTTCATCCACGGTGCTAGTCCACCACCCGTATTTCCTCGGAGGTTCTTTCAGAGGCACCACTGGTCTGAGCTTCGGAGCCTCACCCCCCTGGGACCCGGAGGCAGGAAGGGGTTCAGCACCTAGTCCAGGCTTGTGTGTCGATGCCTGTGCCGACTGATCATCCTTTGGTGACTCTGACTCTTCTTCGTACACCAGCTCTTCTTCTTCTTCATCTTGATCGGCCTCTTGACCGCGCCGGCTGTTCTCCGCCTCCATTCTTTGCTTCTTGGTTGGCGGTTCGATTGGTGACTTTGGGGCAGCTTTTCTTTTGACCATCAGACCGGGAAGGTCCTGGTCTTTGGACTGCCTGGCCGATGGAGGATCCTTAGTTGCAGCTTTTTGCGTTTATCAGCGGTGTGCGAACTGGCAGCCGACTTGCCGCCAGCCGCACTTGCGGGTCAGTCCTTCTTGGCCCCAGTGCAATTGATGCCTTGGTGCGGACCCAGGCACTTGTTGCACTGATGGGATCTCTTTGACTTGCACTTGCCTTGTGCCTGCTTTGACCCGCATTTGTCACCATTGTAAAGACGGCAAATCTCCACCCCTCTTCGATTGTGGGCGCACGCGCCGTCTGTTCCCTTTCGGGATTTGTCTTCACCTTTGTAGGTCCTGTTTGACCTGCCGGCTCTTCTCCTCTTTGCATCACCCTCCTGGGGGTCGTCATCATCTGCTCCCGCAGGGGTGCGTTTTGACCGGGCCAGGAACAAGGTGGTTGGTGTCGTGAGCTCCTTGTTCCAAAACTCCGTGTCCTTCACGGCGTAGGCGTAGCAAGCATTCCAGGGCGCTGCTGCCGTGAAGCCAAACGTGGGGTTGGCATTGAGCTCTCTGCGCAACCTCTCTAGCTGCTCGGAGCGCATCCGACTGTCGGCCTTACTGACAGATGAACGGCCACGCCTCCTCTCCGAATTGGGTGACGAACCCCCGGATATGTTCGGCATAGGCATCTAAGCGCTCGGCCTCGGCTGCATCAATTCGTAGAAGGAAGCTGGGCCGGGCTGCTCCTTCTTCCCCCACTCTCCGGTGGAGACATTGAGGCTGTAGCTTTGGAAGGTCTGACGACGGAGGAGGCGCTGGCCGTGGGGGCCAGAGATCGAGAAGCCCGCGTACGGGACCGCATGCGCCGCCAGGACCTGACTCAGTGCAGCCAACTGATCCCGGCTCACGTCGGCGTCTGCACTAGGAAAGTCGTGTCGCCCAGCGGATGAATCTCTGCATCCAGGGTCGGATCCAAGACTGCGCTCAACTTGAGCTTGCGGGCCTGTGGAGTCCCTGCCGTCGCAGCAGCCCCTGCCAGCGGGGGGAAGGGGGCTGGTGCTACAGCCAGTGCCGCTCCCACGGCCGCATCGCCTGGCAAGTCTACAGCTCTTCCCGCTCGTAGGCAACAGACACGCCTCCATGACTCCAATCTGGCCTCTTCCACTGGGGTCAGTCCTCGAGGTGCTGGCGCTGGGTCTCCAGGATCTCGCACTTGAAGGTTCGAGACCACTCGATCCCAGGTCGGCCTTGGGATCAAAGCGACTTCTCTCACCCGGGCTGGTTGCCCCAGTGCCGCCAGGATGGCGCCTGACAACGGGCCTTCAACTCCGGCCCACGCCCTGGCCTCCTCCAAGTTGTTGATGGCCTGAAGCTCAACCTCGGTTGGGTCCATGGGTGACCGCGGGCCCTTCGTGCAGCAAGTGGATGCTCGTCGTCTGGCGGTCCTGCCTTGGGTTGGCCTCGACCCCTCGGTGTTTCGAAGGGTAAAGCGCTTGTACCCGTTAAAGGCTACGCCAACTCGGCGCCGTTTGTTGACGAACTTAATCGCCCGCTCAGTGAGCCTTTCCCACGCCTGGAGGGCTTCCTCGCTGGCCGTGGATCGAGGGGCAGGTGTCCGGAAACACGCCCACCCCACCACGATGCCCAGGAGGAGAGTGAGGGCCCACCCCGCACCCAAGATGATCAAGGGATCAAGACCCTCCTGATCCTCGGGTTTGGAAGTGACCACCAAATCACTCATGCCCCCCCCACCTGTGTCCGACTCAGCTGGAGCCAAAATGGCATACGGATGGGAATCCACAACCACACTCAAGCATTGTCAACCCCACAAAACTTTGTGTTCTATCAACACCTCCGAAATGCATATGCTCGCATACTCTTCGGCATGCTACGAGCAATCTTAAAGCCGAGTTTGAATCTACAATGTGGCTTTCTTTGCAAAAGATCAGGCTCATTGGTCCAAATGTGCATGTCAAAGATCATCGACAAACAGTGTCTAGCTCCGAGTCTACATCTTCCAGTCTTTCAGAAGTTTGACAACTCCATGAAAGGAGAGCCGAGAGTACAAAACAAAGCACTTCCAGTAGCACTTGACTTGTGGAAGCTGTTTGAAGTCATCGACAAAACCAGGGGTATGGAAAGACGGCAAAGCTTGATCAACCAGTCTCTTTCAGTAATACAAAGAGCTTGCCTGCAAAAGCATGTGCACCGCTGATACAGAGCCATTCTGAGCAGCATACCTGCCAGTAATGCACTGTGCACCAACGCCCTGTATGTCGCAAGGTAGTCTTGTTATCACCTCTGTCTTGTCTCTGCGTCTGATCTTCAGTGTCAATATCTCCTAAAGGAATGCAGGCTGGCTACGCAATCGCTTGAGATGCATGAGTAGCATGAGTCACAAGGCACGATCACAAGGCACTATCATTATATATTATTATGATGACTTGGCCGCGCACATCAGCGGCGTCATGCCTTCTTTGGGCCCCTTCCTCTTCACAGGCCAATCTGGCTCCTGAAGTGCTCAAGCTGCTCAAGCTTGCTGTCGCCGCTTCGCTGCATTTCAGTCCATGTCACTCCTTTCACCTTTTCGTTCCCCACGAGTGCCTGGTCCCACATGCTTGTAGGCGGCTTTGGCCGCATCACAAATGGACGCCTCGTCTCGAGGTACGCCCCCTGCCAAAAAGAACTCAACACAGAAAAGTGGCTGGAAATACTCTTGCAGCTTTAATCCGTTTGATCTTGCAGTCTCTTCAGCGCAACCATCACAGCCACCTCATCCAATGCCATCTTCAAGCTGCCAATATCATTGTCTCGGCCTCATGGAAGCGTGCAAAAGTACGTTGGACGCCCGGTTCTCATAAATGTGCGTTTGGGTGCACCAAATGCATCTCAAAATGTTTATGTGTTATGTTTGGGATGAGAGGTGGACGTTCACCCGTTGTTGGAAACTTTCCATGCTTGCCACGAACAAAATTGAAAAGGTATCTTCTTCGAGTCCTGTGAATGCGCGTGTCCCATGCATGTGTGCACCTCCTCATCTGTTGATTATTTTCCCCCATTATGTACTGTAAATTTGAGAGATACGTGGTGTGGTTTGGGATGCTCCTATCGCATGCACCATTATATACATATATATATATTGTATTATTCCTTTCCTTCCCATATTATCCCCAGCAAACGTGCTCGTCTTTCTCGACACCCTATCTTTCCCTTACGATGAAAACCACCACACAACTTTCGAGGCCCGAGTCCCACCCTCAGTCAGCTGACCAGATTAGAATTGTTGCCGGCCAAGTGGTTGCATGCACTTCTTCCGTGCAAATAGGGTATACAGAAAGCTCTGCAACCATGCAGCAGAGATGGCTGCAGCTGCACTTGTCAACAGTGCGTTCATGGACACCCTACCCAACATCCTGCTCGGTGCTAGCGTTGGGCTGAATGCAAAGTTTAAACGAGATCCATTCCATGCTTTGACATGACTCCTGGCCTTTGAGTCCTCAAGGCCAGTCGACTCAAAAAACTGCCCATTCTGAGGTTGCAAAGCTCCCCACTGGCGGCAAGAAGCCGTTGGTTCAGGACACCCTTGGAGTCCTGGCAGGGATCTTCTACTCGTCGGAATGGTGCTTGAATCTTCAGCCTGTCTCCTGAATCTCTACTTTTGCAGGTCCACAATGAAATGACCTGGATTCAAATTTGTATATATATATAATACCATAATAAGATATATCGTAAATAGTCCGCTGTTTCTAGGTGCAACCACAAACACAGCAGCCATCCAAATGCAAGTTAGTCTTGGAACCAGAGTAGTTGTGCAATACTCACAACCTGCAGGACAAAGACTCCACTAAGTCCCACACAAATATCTGGGATTGAGTTCTCAAGTGTTTACAAAATCAAGCACAAGCGCAATTGAAACTTGAGATGACTTCTACAACATCTTGGACTGAACAAATGCCACTCATGTTTATCAAATCCAGCATTTGAATCATCTTTCCATATTAAAGGATAATTATATATGTACATATCTTCTAGTATCTCAGCTCCCTATATCTATATATATACACATATGCTGCTCATGCTCTCTTTCATTTCATCAAGATACAATTTGACTGAGAGAGAGAGAGAGACCATATGCCTTCAGAAACAATGGGGATTGCTTTGCAAAGCTGCATCTCTGCGCTTGATTTTCGTCAAACACGCCTTCAGAGACTGTCCTCAGGAGGGAGCACATCTTCCTGCCACCTGTGCACTAATTGCATACGATCAAGCTGCTCACGCAATATAACCACCAAGCTTGAGGAGCCCGACCAGGACGGCAAAACCCTCTCAAATAGTTTCATGTTGCTGCCAATCCTTTGCAGGCACAGATCTGCCAAAGACAGCATGGGCACTGGCTGTAAATGTATTTGATGAAAGTTGCATTGCTGGAAAAAGGCATGTCTCTTGATATCCTCGATGTTGGCTGCACCGAGACGCACATCGGCATCTTCCACAACCATTTCGCTGATGAGGCCACGTGCATCAGCGGGTATTCCCGGAGGAAACTGCAAGTCGAGTGCCAGAACTCGTTGGAAGATCAAGTACTCTGACTTTTCATGGAAAGGTGGACAACCAGTCAACACCTGGAAAACTGTGCAGCCCAAGGACCATATATCAGAGCGATGGTCGCTGCTCTTGTTCTCAATGACCTCCTTTGGCATAAACTGAGGCGTGCCTACATAGTCCTCAAACACCTTGTGACGAGAGGCATTCCCAGATCCTTTGATGTGAGGGTTCTCAAGGTCCTTGGCAGTCCCAAAATCAATCAGCTTTACGACACCAAGTTCAGTAAGCATAATGTTCTCTGCCTTCAAGTCCCTGTGGACTATATTTGCTTGCCGGAGATAGGAAACAGCGTTGACAACCTGCGCTAAGTAGTGTCGTGCCCTTCCAACGGGGCAGCCAACGGTTTTGATGACTTCCCACAGTTCGCCACCGAGACATTCTTCCAGCATTACAAAAATGTTTGTATTATCAGAAAACCATCCCAGCATCTTGATGATGTTTGAGTGGTTGGTTCTTTGCAAACAATGTTTTTCCATATACAGGTCAGCGGTTTTCTTCAAGCGCTCACACCGGTATCGATCAACAATTTTCATAGCGCATCGCAGGCCTGTCTTCTTCTCGACGGCAGCGTACACAGAAGTAAAGGTGCCTCTTCCAAGCAGAATTCCAATATCAAACTCTGTGTCCTTTCTTCTTACCAATGGTGGCAAAGGGAACGACATTGCTTCATCCGCGCCCCAGGGATTGCAAGTGCAGCGCAATTATTTGTCCACTCCACACACCGAGTTGCAAATATCCAACCAAAGGGGAGTCGGGGATCATTAGCCTGAAAGGCATCGTGAATCATAACCCAGAAAGGCGGTCTTCTATGGAAAAACATTAAGTGGCTGCATGGCTAATCAAAACTCACCAGAGATCAAAAGCCTGAGTGCTGACAAGACTGAACCATGCCACATGGAAACAAACATTCAATGCGTGATCAGCACAAAAATTGCAAGCAAAATCCAATTCCTCCTTGGCCGGTTGGATGTTTGTGCAACAGTTGCCCGGCACAGGGATTGCATGCACGATGACTTTCCTGGCTGATGCTGTTTCACACAGGCAAACACACGTGCATTGCAAACCTGTGTTTTGCCTTGATATTCATCATAAAACAATGTATATATACATAATATGTTCCCCTTGGATCTACATGCCATTTGTTCCCTTCGGACGTGCGATCTACACTCTACACCAACAAAACAGCAAACAAAGAAACAAAAACCTCATGCAAAACTTAAATGATTACAAAAATGAACGAAAAAAATGTTTCTTGCGGATTGCAAAGGCCACGAGAATGGCCGCGACATCATCCTCAATGTTGAAAACAAGCCAGGAAGACTCCCCGGCTGACTTTTCGCATTGGCAAATTGCCTGACAACAATATGAAAAACCCCTTTATCACACGCACATGCAAAAATCCAACACGAGTCGTTGTTCACTTCCCTTGAATACTGCACCCACCAACCAACGTCGATCCACATCATCTGTTGACACGGAACACAAACGAGTTTTTGAACATGTTGCTTCCCATGTGTTGCGGACGCACAAAAGCACAAGGTTTTAAACCACAAAATTGTATCGGTTCGTTTCGGTGAAATTAAGACATGGACACCACCCATGGCAAAGCTTTCCTCATGCTTCAAGCATTACTGTATTATGCATCAACCTTCAAAAACATCGAAAAGATAACCTCAAATTGCATGGCTGCCATCTTTGCCAAGAATTGTTTCTATCTTGTTTGCTTCATTCAAGTCAAAAGCAGCTGCTGTTGAGCAACAAATGTACTGCAGAAACAGTGCAGACCCACATCTCGTCACAACCGGACATCCCAAAATTGAATAGTCAGAACGATACATACATACATACATACATGCATACATACATCCATGCATGCATGGCTCAAGCCGTTTGAGGTCTCAACCTGGTCCCATTCAAATCCAGGCACAGGTAAGATAGCCATTGGAGCCTAGCATTGTGGACCACCTTGGCACTGGACCGTTCTTTGCTAGCAATCTTGCTCTTCACCAACCTCGCTTTTGTTGACCCCTTAGGTGACTGGCAAGGTCTCGCTCTGGTCTCCGGCCTGTACACCATCCTGGTGACTGGGGCTACAAGATCAGCTTTCTCCCAGGCCAGATTGTGATCGGTGCCAAGCTCTTCAACTTCCACCAGGCCGCGGACGAGCTTCTTGAGAACCTCCTCATCAGGAGCTATGACGTCCAACTGGTGTCGTGCATATCAGGTATGCACCAAGAGCAACTGTCACAACTGGATATGGCAAGACAAGATCAAGAGCGGCAACAAATGCCGAAAGTGCGGCACATGGTGGGTGGTCACCGCAAATGGCAAAGGCAAAGGACAAGGCCACTCCACCACATCCAAAACCCTCCTTAAGGGTTGGCCCAGGAAGACATACCAAGAAGCCCTTCTGGACACACCGCCTGGGCTACACCGGCCTCGACCACTCCGACGCCCTAAGGACCAGCAGCAAGCTGCAGAGCTCCTCACAGCCAACTGGGAATCCATTCCGGACACCATCCAAAGCAAGCTTCAAGCTTTGGGCCTAGGACCTCAACCCCAGGAGGAGCCAGGGCTGACTGACATCCTGAAGACACATATGAGCTCTTTACCGCCTGAAGTCCAAGCTGTAGTCACTAAGCTGACGACTCCCCTCCCGCAAACGGAGAAAGAGATTGCGCAGCAGCTGAAGAATCAGGTCACGGAGTTGAAGAATCATTCCATCAAGAAGACCCAGCTTCAAGTCAAATTGGACCAGGCGAAGAGTCACTATGCAGCCATGCTACAAGACATGCAGGACATCCAAGCACGCCTCAATGATGGACAACAAAAGCTCAAGCAGCTCTCCGACAAGTACATGGCTGCAGTGAACCAAGCACCCAAGCCTGAAGACCTCACAACGGACACAGCGGCCACCGAGCCCATTCCCATGGTAGTCGAATCTTTTGTCACGAGCCTTGGCATTTCTTTGACTGAAGATCAGAGAAGCCAACTTCACGGTCTCTTGAAGCGTCCAAATATGGATGGAGAGGACCCAACCAAGCGCAGGAAAACTGAGACGACTGCAACTCCAATTCACTCACCGTTGAGTGGGTAACATGCAGTGGGAACTCCAGGGGCAATTTCAAGGGGAATTTGTGCCAGTTCCCCTTGATGATTTTGATGAGGCACATACCAACGGGGAAACTGTGATCCAGCACCAATGGGTTTGCCGCGCTGCCTCAGGCTCCGAGGTGCACTTCACCACAGACCATGCATGGTGTGAAAGGGACCACTCACACCAACCATGGATGGCTTTTGGGGAAAACCTTTCCAGCCTGCATGAAGGGGACATTTCATGCACCAATCCACATGGCACAGAAGCACAGGACGACCACGTCACAATTTTGACATCAGAGACTTCACTCCAACCCTCCGGCCATGACAATCTGAAGCCCTCTGACTACCTCTCCATCAAAGGGGGAGCACTATCCAGTGGCAATCCGGAGCTGCCACACACAGGATTGCACCACATGGAGCATGAGTATGCCTCCACCACCGACTGCATTTTGCAGAACCTCAGCATGACAGTGGGCAACCCTGGTGCCTACTGTTACGCCAATGCACCATGGCGAGCTTTCAGCTGGACCTGTGCGCTGCTGCAAGAAACGAGCACCCAACCTTGGGGCACCCTGCAAGAAGCAGTACAAGAGTCTTTGGACACTGCGGAAACCGTGGACCTACACCAGCTACCAGGAATGCAAGAGCTCTGGACACAGCATGACCTCAACTTGCAGGGAGATGCAAATCACTTTGTGAACTCACTCTGGCTTCAATCACAAACCAGAGCCTTCCACTACCGCTATGCAGAGATCAAGGAGCAAGGCTACCTGGTGGATCACGTCCAAATGCCGATCTTGATCCCCTACCCTGATGACTGGCCTGAAGACACAAGGTTTCAGGACCTCATCAACAACTGGGCCAATCAGGGCTTGGGGCAATACCTCATGGATGACAAGAAAGTCCTCATTTGGATTTGCCAGAACGTCAACCGAATTTGTTCCAGCTGTCCTGATTTGCCATCGGGGCAAAACACATGAAACGGGCCACTATTTTGCCATCCTCATCTACCGGGATTTGATGTGGTTAGCAGACGATGGCAAAGTCCCAACCTACCTGCCCTTTCTAACACCAAAGCTGGCCAGTCAGATCACTCAAATTTGGGCTGTCAGTCTCGATGTGTTCAGAACACCACAGCAGATCCGCCGCAGCCTGCCACCCATGGAAGAACCAGACTACGACCCACCTCTTCATCCCAGTCCAAACAAAAAGGCCACTACGCCAATGTCACCAACTTTGGCAGACAGGTCATTGACTGGTACTGGACAAGAGATGGGGACATTCACATTTTCGTGGAAACCCATCTGGACCAACAACGTCATCAAGAGATATGCCAGTACTTCCGGCTCCGAGGCCGCACAGCTTTTGGCACAGCAGCCACCATGAACCCAGAAGCCACAGGCACCTCAGGTGGGATTCTCATCCTGGCTGACCCCAGTTGCTGTCTGATGGACTTAGAGCACTATGATCATCAAGGGTGCGGCTACCATGCCTTTCTGTGGCAGGCCACTGAGGCCACCATTCTGGTGATTGGCATCTACCTCCATCACAGTGAAACCTTACAGAGCACCACCAATGCCACAATCATCAGCAGAGTCCTGGCACTCCTTGAGGCCACCAGACATCCCTATGTCATCATCGGTGATTGGCAAAATCATCCCGATGCCATTGCAGGCACTGTCCTGCCGGCCAAGTTCCACTTCGGCATTCTGGCGCCAGACCACAGTGTTCTGTCCGGTAATGTCTTGGACTATGGGCTACTGCATGACCAACTGGCCAGCACCACTGCTTTGACCACCGATTGGGCTGTGCCTTGGCGCCCTCATGCACTGCTCACATTGACTTTTGACGTTGAAGCAGCAACACGAGAGTATCGCCAGATCCAGCAATTCCCGGCATTACCCAAAGTCCCGGACATCGACTTCAGACCATGGACTACATATCAAAGTCAGGCGCATGAACTTTGCCTCTACGACAATCCCACCAATGAAGCAGCACAACACTGGGCAGACTGGATCTCTAAAACTGAACAATATGTACTCCAAGAGCATCCATGGGCTGCACAAGGACGTGGGGCAAACCTGAGGGCGATCACTAAGCCACTGCTTCCCATTGGACCTACCAGAACCTGGCGCAAAGGCCGTCCAGCCTACTGGGAACAGCTCCGAGCGCGTTTCCAGCTCGCGATTAAACAACCGGCTGAAGCCCAGCACGGCCCAGTCAAAGGCTTCATGAAGATGATCAAGGATGTGCAGAAACACTGGCAAGGGCCACCCACATGGGGTCAGTTTCTGGACACCACATACCACTGGCACAAATACAGAGATCCCCATGCCGCGGACCTCATGGAGCACACCATGACACATCAGCACAAAGAAGCCCAACAGCAGGCCAATGATGAAAGTATGCTCCAGTACCAGGAATGGCTTCTCACTGGACAGCAGAAAGGCCTCAAAGGTCTCTTCCGCAGCCTCAAGACCAGTGAAATGGCCTGGCTCAGACCGTACAGACAGATTCCAATGCATGATAGGATGACACAACGCCTGACCTTTGGGGACTGAGA